TAAAGTTTCGTCGGAACGAAGTTACGGAAAGTTAATTAACAAACGGAGACGTAACAGTATATTCAAAAGTATGCATTCATAAGCTTAAGCTCGTCTAGTTTGAGAAATTAAAGATCGTATATGACACTGGTGAAGAAAAAGGGTGTCGAGAGATTTTGTATGTGCTTTTGTGGTATTTTAAGGTAAAACCGATTTCCCAACAAATATGAGACAGGTAAACTCGCAAATAACAGCAGATTCAATCAAGAAATAAGAGGAGTATTCTACGTTTGATAACTTGACTGATATTCTATAAGTGCGAAGTAATAAGACTGGACAAACGTAAACAAATGAACAAACACTTTGTTATGACAAGCATATAGAAAGCATAGTGTGCGTACCTGCGAAATTGGGATCACAGTTGGCTCTACTGGAGTGTGTTTAGCTCCACAGATTGCTTTTTCTCGGGACAAATTTACGTCGAACTAAACACGGTGATCTTAAAGTAAATCTTCACTTCACGATATTCTAGTAGAACTGGATAAAGAAAGCGTGCCTAAATCAACAGGTAAGCTCGTTTTCTTTGTCCAGCATCACCAAGTGACCTTTATTCTCTCACAGCATTTCCGTTATCACATTTAGTCAACGTCAACTCGGTCAGAAAAGGATATTATAAATAAATTACCGACTATAGATAACAAAGAAACAAAACAACTAGGACAAGGCAATTACTGTCTGGACCACGTGTTTACAACTGCATATACATAATATAAACGAAAATTTTCAGATAGAATACATATGATACGCCTGATTATCAAACTTTTAGACTAATATAACAAAAGTGTCAAAAGAGTAATATTGATCAATTGAACATTTCTACGAACGCCTTATGGTTTAGATTCTTCTTTTTTATTTCTTTACACTTTCAATTGGTGGCATATTTAACAGATTGTTCACTTAAAAGTCATCATTTGGGCGCATTGTTGGAATTTTCTAAATTTGAATACTATATAATCATTACACAATATATTGTATCCATATGAACAAAATAGAATATCATTAAAAGGATAAAATTCAAGGGATTTGTCTAAATATCACTAATTAAACAATCAAATTATCAACGTTTTTCAATACGCAATTTAATTCCTTCATTCTGAGACCGTCAACGGTCTGAAAACAGACACTACACATTTCGACGTCAAATCACGCTATCCTCAGTAAAGTAAAATCCAAATCAGGAAACCATATATATATATATATATATATATATATAATATACACACCAAAAGCCATTAGTCATATGACTATTTCGTTTATATATTGAACTTAAAGAGATCATGTCATTTGCATACTTTCTGACTTTCTTACCTTTGTTTAAGATATGATAATTATTTTCAATGTGTTTCATTATGTCTATAATTTCTCTAACATTTCTAGATAAATAAGAGTTCTTTCCCCCACTGAATGATATGACTGTGTGACTTGCATGTGCAGCTAGTGCAGGATTTTCACTTTTATTCTTAACATTTCTCTTATGTTTATTTATCCTATTTTTTAAATTTATTTTAGTTTGATCAATGTATGCACAACCACATTCACAATAGATTTTGCAAATACCCGTTTTCTCCATTGCATTAATCATATCTTTAGTTTTATTTAATATTTGACTAATTTTATTCATAGGTATACAAATCGGGACAAGATTTTCGTTAGTTTTTAATGTAAAATATATGTGTATACTCGTATATATATACATACAGGCACACACACACATTAATTCATAATGACGAAGGAACCCACTTGAAATATATATTTAGTATAGACGGCTGATATGGGTATTAAAAACTTTTATTTAAAACACAAAACAAGTAACAACGTTTCGACCTCTTCGGGTCATCATCAGGTTAAGAAGATTGAAACGTTGTTAGTTTGTGTTTTAAATTAAAAAAATTAGTACCCATATCAGCCGTCTCTACTATACATACACACACGCATACATTAAATTCGGAGTACATATACCTTTTAATGTCCTCCAATGGGGCAGCGGTAAGTTTACGCACTTCTACCACTAAAATTTGGGGTTTGATTTCCCATAGCGGACAGAGAGCAGATAGTTCATTGTGGAGCTTTGCGCTAAACAAAAAAAACTTTTAGAGCGTCACCTAGGTGATTCTTTTTACATAATTACAATTATTATCTAGAAATGACATACTACTTACTCGTTTGTCGTGAAACACACGCGATTTATGAAATAAACATTAAAAAAACTTAATGCTAACGTGGTAAATTATTTTTTACTTTCAATAACATTTGTTGTAATAGTGTCTAACACTTTACACGCCGGTCGCTACATGTACGGTACAACGCTCTTTCTTTTTTATCTATTTTTCAGAGTGTGAAGAGTCATACCGCCATATAAAATAGTTCTCAGTAAAATCTATTAGTAATAATATATTTCTGAAGTAACCGTATACGTAACTAAAATAATGTGCAATATCAATATAATTTTCTAAGATACTCTTAAATGTTATAGGTGACTAGTATTTGCTAGTTTCTAGCACGCGAACTGATAAAATTTTAAATATACTTGCCTAGAGAAGTTGAGATGTCATGGCGGACGGAGGGAGAGGTTGCTACGCAGGCTTCAAGTTTCAGTCATAGTAGTTTGTTCAAAAATTTACGTTAAATTGATTAAACATATCTTAAATATGAAGAGACAACAAGATTGCGATTCTCCTAATAAGAGTAAACGTTCGCATTCTTCCTTATCACGTTACGATGATAGTCCTCGGGATCGTAGATCTTCAGATAGACGAGACAGGCGTGGGGTAAACAAATCATCCAGCGATCAACGTCGTGGTAGGACTACAGCCAGAGATTCGTCGTTAGAAAGAGGTATGCCAATGGGTAGAAGTGGTAGTTCGATGCCGTTAACCTCTCGCGATATTTATGATGATATTTCGCGGGGCATGAAATCAGAACGAGGCGGTCCGTACAGTTACAAAATATTGTGTGTGAGTAATATACATCATAAAGTTTCAGATGCAGCCGTACGTGATGCAGTTTTCAGGGAGTTCAATCGTTTTGGTGAAGTAAGTGTTAAAGTATGTCATGATAGTAATGAACGGTTTGCTTACATATATTTTAGAACATATGAAGATGCTCATGATGCTAGACATACAAAATCTCGTTTAATACTTTTTGACAAACCAGTTCAGGTTGATCCAATTTTTGATAGGGATTTGGTAGGTAGAAGAAACAGGAGTATGAGCCCTGACTATGGTCCAATGAGAAGTGTGTCACCAGCTCATTCAACAGGAAGTGCTGGGGGTATGGGTAGACGTTCAGGGGGTGGGAGACATAGTAACTTTGACCCAAGTCCTGGGCCACCTCCATTTGGACCCCCACCTCTTTATAGAGAACTACCAATGCGACATGATATGCACCATGATTTTCACCCCCCACCTCATAGACGAGATGAAGCTAAAAAAGAGAAATTTCCTAACTACCTTCATCATGTACCACCAGAAGAAGATGACAAAGCAACTCGAACACTTTTTGTTGGAAATTTAGAAGTAGCAATTCCTGAAACTGAATTGCGTCGAATTTTTGAAAGATATGGTGTTGTAGAAGATATTGATGTAAAAAGACCCCCTCCAGGTCAGGGAAATGCTTATGCTTTTATTAAGTTTTTGAACCTTGATATGGCTCACAGAGCCAAGGTTGAAATGTCAGGTCAATACATTGGAAAGTTTCAGTGTAAAATTGGTTATGGGAAAGCAACTCCAACAACTAGAATTTGGGTAGGTGGACTTGGCCCATGGACATCTCTGTCTCACCTAGAGAGAGAATTTGATAGGTTTGGAGCCATCAGGAAAATTGACTTTGTCAAAGGTGATAACCATGCTTATATTCAGTATGATAGTATTGATGCTGCACAAGCAGCTTGTCAAGAGATGCGTGGATTTCCTTTGGGTGGTACAGACAAAAGACTGAGAGTGGATTTTGCAGATCCAGGACCTTATAGCTATTTTGAGTCTGGAAGACCTGATTTTAGAGATGATGCAGTAGATCAGTTTCCATTTCCTCATCGTGGAGGGCGTGACCTTCCACCACCTGAGGAGTTTTTTGGTGGTCCAGACTGGCCACCAAATCGAGGCTTTCCTCATTCGCCATCTTATTATTCTTGGCCATTAGAACTTGATGACCACAGTAGAGGAGACTATAGGGAATGGAACAGAGACAGACAAAATTGTTGGGATGAACCAGGCAGGGGAGGACGTGGGGAAGTTGGGAATGACAGGCGTAAACGACCAGTGACCCCAGATGAGAAAGGTCTTCCGGATGGAGCTCCTACACTAGCCCGACTAGATGGTGTACCATTCAAACATTCTCTTAGATCACACACTCCTGAACCAGGTGAGCATGAAAGAACTCCAAGTAACAAAGATCCAATGTCTCCTCGAAGGACAAAAGGTGATATTGTTCGATTATCCAAGGAAGATCTGGAAAGAAAAGAACGTGAGCAAGGTGAAGTTGATAAAGAGTGTGAAGTGGGAAGAACCCAAGGGCATACTGATGGTGAGCCAAGTGAAAATGGAAGAAAACTGATACCTGATAGTGTTGTGAAAGAAGGTGTTGTTTCAGTTGCTGACAGTGTCACAAATCTCCAAGATCTAGCAAAATGCTGCCCTGTAGCATGGCATGGTGGACTTGTTCTAAAGAATAGTTCGTTCCCATCTCGTATGCATGTATGTAGTGGAGATCCCTCTCTTGTAGATTCTCTTATGAAGGTTAATTCTGTTGATGCACCAATGCTTAGGATTACTCAGCGACTCCGACTTGATCAACCAAAACTGGAGGATGTTTCACGCAGGATCTCTAATGCTGGCACTCATGGTCATTGCATGCTCCTTACAATGCCGGGTTCAATCCATGCTTCAGATGATTCAACCAATGCTGTTCAGCAGCGTCCTCTAAGGAATTTAGTGTCTTATTTGAAACAAAAAGAGGCAGCTGGTGTTGTTGCTTTACCAGCTACTAGTGCCAAAAAAGATGGCAAAGATGTAAATGGAGTTTTATATGCTTTCCCTCCATGTGAATTTACTTTAGAGTTGTTAAGACGTATTGTCCCAAATTTGACTAGTGAGTGTTCAAAAGAAGATCATATTGTGGTGGTGGTGGTGAAAGGTGCAGCTTAAGTGCTGTGCTGTATTGGTTTTCATTGTGCGTGTGTGTGTGTGTGTGGTGAAAATTTCACAGACCACAACAAATTTAATAGGTGTTTATTCATAGTAGTATGATAGTTTTTCATGTGACTGTCTTGAAAATTATGGTGCAAAAGTCCCAACTTTGGATGTTTACTTTGTATTGTATTCATGTACTCATAATTCGTTTAAATTTTAAGCAAGTAGTATACTTGTAAAAAACAAAGCTTAATATACTCTGTAACTGCTATCTCTACTAATTTATAAAAACTGTTATACATGTGCTCAGGACAGGATGAATAATAATGGTTATTAAGAAATGTCTTAAAAAGCTAATTGTATTTGATAGCATTTTTTATGAACATCATTGAGCAGAGAGGCAAATGCTAACAACTTATTTGAAGATCTGGTTTTTCTTTAATGAGTAATGTTATGAAAAATGAAAAATTATAATTATCAGGTAAATTTCAAAATGTTAAAAATTGTAATTTTCTTCAGGTTTTGTATTCTTTTTTACTGTGTTCAGTTGCATTCACTAATGTTTCTTTCTTGGACTGGAAAGTATATAAATGTGTTATTTATGTGGAATTTTTTTTTATTCATACCTTTGTAATGATCAATTTCAATTTTTCTTTATGACAAGGAAAAAAAAGATGAAGTTGACTAATAGTTTTTAAAAATTAAATGTCTTTACATGACATCAAAAAATTTGAAATGTAAAAAAACATTAATACTTAACCATCTTTTTCTTTTCTACAAGCAGCAAGGCTCCACAACCACGTGATGCTTTAGTTTGAAAATGGCAACCACTGAATTTGCATCTGTGTTTACGTTAGGTAGTGCATCGGTATTTAAGTACAGTAAAATAGTGTTGTGCGAAAATAAGAAAACCGTGGTGTGCCTGTTTAAGAATGACACACACGCTCGCCTTAGTGTCAGAGGTGATTAGTATAAAACCAGAAATTGATTTGTTTTTCGCATATCTTCAGAATAAATTTCAGTTTCAATCTCTTCATACTCTTGTGATACATAACGCAAGTGAAAATAGATCATCAGAGCAATATGTGTTAATTGATTGTTCTAATCAGTGATCGGTTAAAGTGTTTAAAGTGATACAAAGCAAGAAATTCATCTGTCTCTCAGTGTGGTGTTTCATGTGAAGTAGACAGATAAAAAGCATCATTGTTCATATTGTTTTGTCAGATGTAATATCTCTATATGTTGTTATCTTTACGAATAGTTCTGAACTATAAATGTGCAGTTTATTTTGAGTGTTACTTCAAGCAGCAACCGTGTCAAATGTTCTTCGACCCAGCTGTGTAAAACACCTTTAACAACGCAAGTGGTTAGTTTTTCTATCAAGGTCAACAATTGGAATCAACTTAATCCAGGCCCTGTCTTCTCAAAAACCTGCACTGACTGTTCTGAGTGATAACCCTAATGATGATGATGAGTGGTTTGATTAATTTTTCAGGTGCTCTCACCACCAGCCGCATTTAAGTGTTTACCTTCAGATAATGCCAGCAAGATTATGTTACCTTAAAACATCCAAAATAATCACATGTGCTACAACTGAAAGAAGTGAAGTGTCAAAAAAATTTTGTTATAAACATCTTCTAACTAAATGCAGAATATCTCCAAAAATATTTATTATGCCTTTAAAGTAAAATAAAGAGATTTTGAGTAATACATAAATTAAAGCCTTTTATTCTCATCATCCTGTTCTTGAATCTGATATTTTTTCATGCTCACCAGTAAAGATCAGGTTGTGAAGTTGTCTTCAGTGTTTATTAGCCTAAGAAAATGTCTATTAAATGAGAACATAAAAATGTGTATGAGTAATCTCAAATATGAAAAATGTCAATATTTATCGCTATATTAGTGAGATTCTAAAATATTTTTTTTATTGTGGACCCGAACCTCCATCAATGAGTGATGAGCATATATATCTCTTGAAATGGAACTTTTACTTTCTGTTTTAGAAAGTATGCATGTGCTCCTTCTAGAAACCCCTTGGGAAGATAATTACATTTTTCTGACTACTCGTCATATAATCGTACAACAGACAAAGCTTTTGTGTGAAATTTCATCCTTTTAATTAATTGGAAGATTTAAGACAGTGAACTTCAGATATTACAGCTTTTTATCAACACTGACAGTTGATTAGCATTGTAATGCCACTTATGAGGAAGTTGTGTGAATTGTGTCTCAGAGTTCTGTGATTCGGTTAAAAACATTGGACGTGACATCATTCTTTGTGGTCTCATAGCAGTATGATTTCATCTCAGCAAGGAGTTACTGGATGCCGTATGTCTTTCTTAATTGATAATATAAGGTATGATACTCCACATTGTGTAGATGGTGTAATATGTTTATTTTTATAATGCTGGTGTATCAAAAATTAATATATCATTGTACATTTTATACAGCTAAATGTGTTTGGCTTATTCCAACCTAAATAGCTTCATGGTTGGTTTTGACAACAACGCTTTAAAAAATATTAATTAAGGAAGATTTTGAAATAATTGCATTTGTGCTCATAAGAAGCTGAACAAGAATAACAAGTTTTGTGAAAATAAGCAGTGTTAATGCTGGTGAAACTGATGTTTGTGTCTAAGTGTTTCGTTAATGTCATCTATAAAATAATGCAAAAAACAACATCCAGTGATTATGATTTCTTAAAGCTTGTAATTGCTAACTGTTGTACTGGACTCAAAGTAACCACTGATATTCATACCAATTAGTTCAGATATTTATTGGATGTCAGCCTTAAATGTGAAGGCCAACTGTGCACATGTTTCACCAGGTTGGTCAGTCAGGTTTTGGGAATACAGCAGGGCCAGGCTCTACAATTTTTTTCAGAAGCAAGAAAGTCCAGGATCTGCCAGTGATGACTTCAGTACCCTTAAAGATTCATTTCTACTTCCTGTATGGTGATGTTTTTGTGCATGATGTGAATGTTAGTTATTTGTTTAAAAAGTGTTCTATTCAATTTTATCCTTATTTTATATGGTTTAAATTTTAATGGATTTAAAAAAATGGGAACAAGAAAATATTTAGAAAACTAGGCATTGATTTTCTTTAACATACATATATTTCAAAGCACTACATTACCTTCTCTGAAATGTGCATATGCACATTGAATTATGAAAGATGTGTATGTGTTTATGAAATTGTTTATAATTACTGTTTTTTTTTATTTTGTATGAGTACAGTTTTTAATTTACTTACAAAACAGTACAAGTAGATGCTTGCATCAGCAGTTGGTAGTTTGATCTGAGAAATGTGTGACATTAGTAGCGAGTAATGCACATGTGGTTGTTGGAGCTCACTTTCAACTCTCAGAGCTGTATATTTTGGTAATGTAGCTCAAGAAGTTTCATTATTATGTCAGTGTAAGGTGTATGGGGCACTTTTCTAAAATAAACCTTATTGGTAACTTAATGTTCTATGTGTACATATATAATGTTATAACATGTAAATTTTAATTCTATTGACTTGCATGTACACAAGTAACTTGAGGACCAGTGGTAAATACCTTCATCTGTTTCTTTAGGTTTATTTTTTTTTGTGTGTGTTGAAAAGAGGAAATTGGGATTGATCTTTTTCTTTTTTTTTAATGTTTGACACATCTCTTTTGTAGTTAAGGTTATTTAGTTGTAAAATATCACTGATTTATGCAGAATCAAAAATATTTCTTAGACCTAAACAACTGAATTTGTTACACACCTCTTGTAGGATATGTCTCACAGGATACTACTCTTATCATTTAGGTAGCTCATACTTAACTCTTTATACATATAAAACTTAATTTATTTCTTAACTAGTTTAGAAATATTTAAAATGGAACTTGTCTAATAGTTTAGGCAGTTTTATTTTTATTTTACCTTTATGAAAATTATTTGCATCTACTTGACAAAAGTTTTTAAGATTAATTGCTGAAATATATATTAAGTTGTTGTACAGCTTCTCTATGTTATGGTTTTGGTGTGAAAGAAAGAAAGAAACTTTATACTTTCTTTTAGGTTATGGAAAATGAACTGCACCACTGGTATTATGGTTTCATTATTTATGTTTTTACACGTTTGACAATTCATAAGTCATAAAAGAAATTGAAGAAATTCTTTTTCACAATGATGTTCATAGTAGCTTGAATCGAACAATTTTTTATGATAGATAAATTATATACTATTTATGAATTGACAGAAAATAGGGATTCAGAGGATTAAGCAAAATAAGATATCGTCAGCCAAAAACACTTAATAATCCTTAAGACTTGTATGATAATGTGAAGTACTATAATAGACCTGGTAGAAGAGAAGATAGGAAATAATTCTGAAATCACAGTTGACCTAATTAACAGGTTTGTTTTATATTTATATATTTTTGTCTTCTTTTCACAAAATTGTGTACTCAGTATGAATAAAATTAACCTGTTAGCAAAAAGGTTGGAGAATTAAAATATATTTACAAAATACAAGTAACTGCAAGTTTAAAATTTTATTTGATATATATATGCATACACACACATATAAAAAATACAGTTCTTGAAATTAAGACATCAAGGACATGGCAAAAAAAAAATATTCCATAGTAAATATACAGATATATATATTTAAGAGTGAAGACATTTTGTGTGATTCATAGTACATGGACTTTTGTTGTCATTGTTCAGTTTTATACTACAAGAAGCACTTATAACCTGTGTGCCCATTTATAACAGACAAAGGAGTATGGCTAATCTGTGCTGGAATTGTGCATACTGAATAAAGAAGCTTCACAAAAATGTGAGTGGATTTAATACAAGAAAATATTTACATTGGGGTTAGCAGAATGCATGCCCATTTTGAAGAGATTATTCTGCTTAATTAAAAATGCACTAAATTTATGAGCCAGTGTATAAGGCAAGCATCCTCACCAAGGTAAAAGATTAAAATCTTAATTCAGGTTTTTGTATCGATCAAATAATTTAAATGAAATTATAGGTAGCTTTCTAAGTTAAACCTGGGGCATAAACTTTGTCACATTTTGCCCATATGATATGCA